TTTGAAGTTTCCTGCCCAAGGCTTAAATTGAAAAGTGTTATCCTAATTCTCAGCACCTGTACATCTGCAAGCCTGACCAAAGTCAGGCTATGTGTGGAGCTGGAACCTCGTCTATGTGCCAAGGTGCTTTCATAGAAGCAGGCACAGAGGTACGAAGGAACATCAAGGGCTCAGCCAGGTTTTTATGAACCACCTGGGAGAGACATTTGGTCTTAAATGTTCATTCTCTACTGCTCATTCTTAGTTCCTTAGTCTAAACCCTAATTCTTCAAGCCTTCTCACCAATTAAAGTGGAAGGAGCACATGAAGGACCCTGCACTGGAAACACCAAAAGCCACATTGCAGAGCAGTTTTCCAGTGTGTTTACTGATAGTAGGCAAGATCTTGAAGTAGAAATCAGAAGAGAAGATCATAAGGCAGGGTAGAAAGATGATAAAAGGAGACAAATCCACAATTGCATCTCTTACTCCATCTGCCCTTCACTGATTCTCTACAATAGTCCTCGGCAGACTGGAAGGGAAAAGAGGAGAAAGGGAGAAGATACCAACTTTTAGGTCATGTCCATACCACTGCTAGATATATTAGAACAGAACCTAGTTGATTTGGTAAAAGGAAAAAAGCTAGGAATGACTCATCTTTTTGGAAATTGAAATATGACAGAAAGTACCTTTTCCAGAGTGTTTTTTTTTATTTAAAAACACTAGTTTACTAGAGAGAGTGCTTTTTGGATGATGGTCCTCTGTGAATTAGACTGTTACATTGATCAGACTATTAATGACCAATACATGACTAGTGAGTAAAGACATACCTTCCCATCTTTAAAAGTAGTGTTGTCAGAAAGCAAATCCTATCACTTCCTACCCAAATATCAATTCCAACAGCTCCCTGTTTCATGTAGTCTATGTCTGACCCATGTACCCTTTGACAGGTCCTGTGACAAGGATCTGAATGTTCTAAATGGATAGTTTTGCAGGTTCTCTCCTAAAATACATAGCACAAAACACTATGCAGTAGCTGCCATCCCAGTATTCAAAATAAGCTGTGTATTTCCCCACAACCATCAGCCAAATAGAGGCTTACCTTCAGGAGATCTTGAGACTAGCTTAGGTCATAACTGAAGATGTTTTGTACCTACAACCATCAGGGCAACCAACTTGTGGAAGAGGGAAAATGTCAAGTGAAATCCTGTGTTAGTAAAACTGAAACCATCAGAGAGAAACCCTAGACGATACATCCTGTTATTTGTGGAGTTTGGGTTTTTTGGTTTTTTTTTTTTAATTGTTGTACCTTAAAACAGAAGTTTTGGGAGGCTATTCACACAAAGTTTAGAAGCATTTGAGCTGTACTCTCCGATTTTCCACAGGAGACTCTGAAAGCTTTTAAACAAGAAAAGCTAGTATTCACTTTGTGCCTTAGCAATCGTCATAGAGCAACGCCAAGATTGTGCCTTTGCTAAGGAGGAAACCATAGAAAGTTTTCTGTATGGTCGTACTTACAGTCTTCCAGCATACTTCAGCTTCATGGCCTGTAAGAGAGGCAGCCTAGGAAAGCAGATGAAGATATTCAGCATACTGTTAGATATTGCTAGCTCTGCAGTGAATCAAAGGGATACAGAACGCATACTTGCATTTCAGCGAGCAACTGCTGCTTCATAGTTGGATTGACACTTGTCACTACACCAGAATTTGAGATGCCAAGTGATGTTGCAGTATTCCAGAATGTACGCTTCCCTCAACAAAAAGCTGTTAATTCCCAGAAATCCCCTTACCAGTCATTTTTCCAAGTCTGAATTCCCACTGTCTTCCAGTAGGGGCAAGCCAAGGAATCCTTTTCAGCCTAACAATTTTATAGATTTCTAGAAAACGAGATGTCGGGTGCACATAACAGTAGCAAAGAGTTACAGAGGAATTCACTAAACCTTGAAGATCAGATATGGCTGAAGCAAGCAAGCAAGCTTACTGCCGATCTTCTGCAATGCTAGGCACCCTTACCTATCTTTTAAAGGAATACACCCAGAACACTAACAAGACCCGAAGTGGTCATAAAGTTGTGTGTGGACACAGAACAAAGTCCTCTTCCTACTCCATACAGGGCAGGAGAAACCTGCTTGCTTCCTTGCAGCAGTTCATGTTTCGGACATAAATTATGTCAATCTCTTCTTTTATATATATCTCCTACTAATGCTCCTGAGTTACTATGAAAGCGTAAGAGCCATGTCCAATTTGTTTCCCCTACTGAGGAATACTCCCTGCTTTGCCAGATTTGCAGCGTAAGCACATACTCTGGCTTTATGCTTTGTAACTAGACTGGTGCTGCCGCTCTCCAGTGAGCTACCTTTTTCATACTGTCTTCTTGCAGGTGTTTAAGCCCATCCCATAGTTTTCTACGCAAATCCTCATCCTAGACCTCACTTTGAACAAAAAGGACAAGTAGTACCTGTAGGAGGCTTTTGGTTTAGACACCATGTAAGCCATATCTCCTTGATGGATGCTGCGGTCTCTTGAAGAAGCTGGTTAGGTAGTTCTGTGTACAGTCCAGGGGAGAAGATAAGCAGGAACAGCTCTAAAGGCTCTCGATTCTGGCCCAGAATTTCTCATGACATGGCCTTGAATAAGCAGGCCAGTTCAGTCTGGAGATAAGTCGGAGCTGGACCCTCCGCGCTGGCCAGGCTCATCCAACAAAGTTAAGGGATTTCAGTGAGGGCTTGGAATCTGTAAGATCAGAAGATGTGCACTGCCTGGGGAAAGGGTGGAGGTGGGAAAAAAGCAGGAGCTCTTTAGAACCAAGTCTTTGCATCAGAAAAGCAATAAGGACATGTAAGACATTCTACTTTAATTTATGCAAGGCTTAATATGATCTGGATTCTTCTAGGGCTCTGCAGAGGCTGACACTACTGGCAGTAGAAACTGAACATATCAGGCCTTTGGAGTAACTTTGCAATACAGTCAGCCATATGCAGGTTATCCTTCCATGAATATTACAGTTGCTTGCTCACTGGAAGACACATCGGAAAAGTTCCTGTTATTCTAAGAAAGTCTCCGAGAGTGTTAGTTCATATTTTTTGACTGCTTGCACTTGCTACAGACCCCTGCATTTACCTATTGGTTTGGCATTAAGGCATTTGTTTCCATTATTCTCTCCAGACTTACTCCGTGATGCAGCATTTTCCTCTTCCTGTTAAGACCAATACAGAAAAAATGAGTCCTCTTATATAACGATTTTCACCCCTCCCTCAAAGCCAAGATTAGGTGTCCTAGCATTTGTCTTATACACAAGTATAGTAGACATCCTACCCAGGATACTGAATGTTAAGCCACTTCAGTCATCAGTCTAGAACTGCTTTATGTTAAAAGTTACTATTGCTTGATCATAATACCATGTACGCCACGACCTCTTGAAAGGGAATGAGCTTAAAGGTGTAGCAAGAGCTATTTTGTAGAATTGGCATGCATTTCAGGTTTAAATCAGCACTGCACTGACATTCAAGAACTTCAGTCCCCATACAGACTGAGATGAACAGCACTTTTATTTATTTCAGTTACAAGAAGAAAGACAAGTAAACCTTACAACCAGAAAGGCAATGAAGGCCTCATGAGCTTACTGATAACCATTTCATAATCTAGGCAACATGTTATGATTTCTTGAGATCACAAAGAAAGCATACCCCCCTCTTAAACAACTTTTCCTTATTTCTGTAAGGAAATTTCCTGTAAGAACAGCACACTGATGTTAACAGAATCAAGAGGGTCCACTGATGTACAAAGTCTACATTCACCCTCCCACCCCTCCTCAAAAGGCTTCAGTGTAGACTTTATTCCAAAAAAAGGTAACACGCAGTCATGATCACAGTTAGAAGAGAGGGGAAAAAAATTAAAATCTGTTTTCAAATGAAATCAAATTATGGTGCATTAATGAAGATACTTTCTTACGTGGCAGTGTACTTCATGGGTAAAGAAACTCTCCTCATTTTAAGCCAATGCTTATCTGACTTTTGTAGTAGGGAGAAACCAGCTTACATAAAAACTGATCCCCCTACCAAGCACTCTAGGTAAGAACTATCACATAAGGAAAGTGCTAGAAACATGTGGGAGAAACTACTATACAAAGTGTCAAGTGCAAACCCCCCCCTTGCCTAGAATTTGGTGTATTTACTTCAGTACAATAGAAAAGACTGAATTCAGGAGTGGTTGACAGTGGGATACAGTGCTACAAGTTGAACATTAGCTGCTAAAGGACAAACCCAAGCATGCATGTATCCCACAAGGCAAAGATACGCTTGAGCTTCCTGACCTGCTCATTTCTGCAGTTTCCTCTAGTATTATCTCCTCCCTCATTACCAACTTAATTCTTGCACTCCTTTGAAGGGACCCCTTTTAAAACTCTCAAAAATTCTGGATTATTCGGCAAAAAAAATTCACTCGCTATTTTAACGAACACAGAGCTGGAAAAAGAAAGGGGAAAAAAAAAAAAAAGAGTTCACAACTCATCTCTTCGGTTGCTCTTCTAAGCAGTATTGGACCTAGAAAACATGAGGAAGTACCAGATCAAGTACTGTTCCATCATCCTTCACTGTTTAAACAATACAGTTGAGGCAGACCATAACTTCTTCAGTCAATCACTAGCAGGTCAGTTTTGGTACATAAGATATTAATCAACTGAAAAATGTATTTTCACCCGTGCTGTATGTCAGTTCTCAGTTTCCCCTCACTTAAGTGGTCAGGGATACATTTATTACGCAGTACTCACAGTAAGTCTTGGAATTTCAGGCAGACCTATTCATTCCCAAGGAGTATCCTTTTGGCTCAGTGAAGACTTTTGAATACCTTAGCTTACATTCATTCTGGAGGCAGCCACCATGATTCCATTTACCCAAAGTACTATTTTTAGTGGGGCTGTTACCATCTTGAAATTGCAGTTTGACATTAACCAGTAATACAAAAGAGTACTTTTCAGTGTTTCCAGTGAAGGAGCTGAGAAAAAAATCTGTAAGAAACCATTGCTGCAATTTTATTTTAACAAAAGGGCAGATTTATTCATGTTTACAAACAAGTTTCAAAAACAAAAAGGAGAACATGTATGCTACCCACTAACAACCTTTCAAAATGCCAACAGCCCTCATGCTGCATGAAGGATTCTATAGATTAGAAAAAAGAAAAAAAAAAAATCACAGTTCCACTCACAGTTCACCAAGACAGCACTAAACTAACATGTTCAGACAAAAACAAAGGACTAAGATTCTGATGTATTTTGATTTAATCCATTTTGCCCGAGATAACAGAAATATTTCAAGCAAGTTCCATCACAGATTGATGTCCTGCATTAAACAATCCTACTAAGTTCTGAACAAAAGTTATTCAGTAAGTTTCTCAAAATTTTTAAAAATTAAACAGTTGTTTCAAAACCATTAAGTAGTAAATGTATTTAAGAAACTAATTAGGACAGAGGCCATAACTTCATTAGAACACCACTGCTCATGTTTTTACAAAGCATTAGTGTTATCTATTTGGCTATTAGTATTAGCAATTTATCTACAATATTTAACAAGGTAAATTGCAGGCAAAATTTAGTACAGTTTCAATAGAAACACCCTTTTCCTGAAAATACAGCAGTATTTGAAGGACTAGTTTTTTTGTTTGTTTTTTTTTCTCTGCATCATTTATAAGGAAGCTTCCCATCTATGAACAGGAACAAAAAAAGTATCTACAAACCTTGTAAACAGATCTGTATCATTTATAAACATAAATAATCCAAATTATTAACAGCCAACAGCAGAAATTAAAGTATCAATTCAACGATCCAGGGCCTCCTTGCCCTTCCCAGCCTTCCCCTCAGAAAAGGATCATGATAAACTAAAGCTCTGCTAACACACTGTTCAGGACCATTCTTAAGTACAACAGATGATCCACAGGTCACTTATGCTGAGTTACTGTTTATCTGTCAGAGTTCATTATTACTCCCACCCCCAGAAAAGCACCCTCCAGTCTGGCAGAAAGCTTTTTTTTTTTAAAAAAATAAATCTACATTCGTACAAGTGTGTCTTCTGTTGAAGTCCAAGACAAGAATATCATCTTGTCCATCATAATGTGTGAAGAGACCCAGTTTCAATTTCTTTACAATGCAGCTAGTGTGTTAACATTCAGCTTACAATCAGAGTGATGTTTCCAAACTATGTAGCGGGCTCCCTGGGGATGAAGAGGTAGCAGACTTGTTCATGTCTGTTGTAAGGTGAATTCCACTGTCAACCGCATTGTTATTTTTATTGGGAGAAGGTGGGGGAGTAGAGTTGCGTTTTGTTGGAGCATCGTCTTCAGCATCAGTATCATCAATAAGGGGAATATGAGGCTCGGAGTCTTCTATTCTAAACTCAGGATGCGTCATAAAATTGTGAATTGAACTTCGTGTCTCAGGTTTCTCTAGCCCCTCGTACAAGGAGCTACGAAATGCATTCACCACTCGGATCTGTAAACAAAGGAAAAAGGTTGTTAAAATGCTGCAGATTCACTGGTAATGGCATGGTTCTTATGAGTTTGAATCCACAAACAGCTAGACATGAGTGAATCGAATTTGTATGTGATGCAGTGGAACTTGCAATAAACTGTAAAAAATGAAGAGCGTTTCAGTAGAGCACTGCCAGTCTACACAGTAGGAATAAAAATTGTAAAAGTACTGCAAAAAGCTGAAGGGCCTAAAAATTCAGACGTGGCACTAGAATGGTTCGATTATTTAACATGGGCTAAGCATTTTTCAGAAGTGAGGCCAACAATTATTTACTTATTCACATATTAAATAAATCTCAGTGAGGGCTTTATTGAATACTTGGGGGAGGTGGGGGGTGGGAGAAGGAGGGGAGAGGCTGAAAATAAGTTAGAGGATAAAAGGGTTACTAATTCTCATGCTAGGAATTAGGATGTCAACTGACTATGAAAAAGCCAAGCAAGTGTAAGCCAATGTCACAATGACCGGACATTTACAGAGAGTCATGCAAAAAAGGATACCACTGTAACAGCTGTAAATATTCGAGTATATACCCATTTACCACACTAGAGAAAGCTCCTTACTGAATAGTGCTTTGGAAACTTAAGACCAGAACTAGGAAATTTAATACTGCATTGTACAATTAAGTAGCCACGACAGGTTGTAACTTTGAAGAGAATATTCAAGTAGCACAAAGTATGAGAAAAGCAGATGATCAGCCTTTGCTTGAGTCTTCAATTTACATTGAATTCATGGACAAAATTCCCAGGCTGAGTATTATTTCAAGTCCCTTCATTGTTTAACTAACATTTTTCAAATCAGAAAGCTAAGTTTATAGAATTCAAAAATAAACATTTCAGAGTGAAATTAGATAAAGTACATCTTCATTTTGCAAGTTGTGCATGTCCAGGTTGCCTTGAATTTAAGCTTTCCAAGTTGTAATTTGAATGATGAAACCACCCGCCCACACCCCCTTCTCCTCCCATGCCCCACACGTTTCCCTGATCAACTACACAAATTCAGGATTTGTTCTTGAACTGATAAAACAAATAGGGTTAGGCAAAAGTCAGTGACCCCTTTGTCCAACACTTTCGTCAAGACACAGTTTCCCCCTTCTGTTAGGTCCCTATTCAATTCTCAACACCTCTACTCTGAGTAAGTCTCCAGCAAAGCAGTTTCAATCCCAAAGCTCCTCTGTTGTGTAGTAAGCAGCAGAGCAACTCTGTAGTAAACAAGAGCTTACTGTTACAAACAGTAAGTTCAATTTAAAAAAATTTTTTAGCACATCCAAGATGACTTGTTTCAAGCTGAGAAATAATAAGTCATGACTAGTGCTTCCGTAGAGTTCCTTGACAGTAAAAATAAAGTGACTTCTAGGTGAAGGAATGAAGCTGGAAGGTCAAGCAGATCAAGAGCACAGACTACGAAACAGCTAAAATACACCAAACCACCTCACTGTAAACACAGAGAAGGGCTCCCCCAAAGCAACGCATTATCAGACTTGTTACCGCAGAACCACTGCACGTGATAAAGTCCTGACTGTGTTCCTCGACCTCTAGAAATAGCATTGCCCCCCCACCCCTACCACCTCAGAGCACTTTGCACAAAGAATTTTACTCAAAAGCTATCATGTCCCCATTTTTGTACTACAGGTACACAGCTAAGTCCCATTAACCATGGAAATGGGGGGAGTGGGGGGACACGCGCACAAGGGGAAGGACCTGACTGCCAATAAAGGGAGGACAGGGAAGAGCGCGAATGTGCTTGAGAAGTAAAAGGCTACAACAGCAGCTAGTACTTTACTGTTCATCACATGAAAAAATTGAGTGTGCTGTTACGGACTTGGCATGTTACATGGGCTTTAAACGAGTCCAGCAAGCTGCCTAAACTGTCTTGGCACTTACCAAGAAAATCAGTGGTGACAATGCTAGACTGAAAGTTTGTGATGCCTTTATTTGGCATGTTGCATCCCACTGTACCACTGATTTATGTGGCAAAATGGAATATGACTGCCTCGTGGGACTGGTTTTTCATTGCTTACAGATGGTGAGTTAGAACATAAGCGGTAATGGAAAACAATTTTTGGCTTCACAGGACAGCTGTAATTATCATAGGAATATAAGCAAACCCACAATAAAGGCTTGATTCCCATGCAGAATGCATACTAAACAAGTAGTCTAGACACTCCTATGAACCCAAGACCCTCAAAGAGTCCAGCTATGAAGGCAGAATTCAGACTATCAGCATTTTAAGTTATACTTAAAAAAGAGAAAATCTAGCGTTTTGATGGTTTTATTTTCAACTACTCAAGATAATTAGACGAGAGAGGTAACTATAAATAAATTGCATAAGTGAGGAGCAAACAAGACAATTTGTTATGTGCAATTTATACTGTCAACAGGCCTTCCTCATATTAGTACCAGAATAGCAAGGAATGCAGTAAGCACTCCAAATCCTCCTAGCCAGATGGCTGCTTAAGAGTTGTAACCTCAGTTCATAGGAACAGCTGAACTATTTTCCAACAAACAGCTCTGAAAGAGAGACACAAAGAAATAACACATCTGCTTCCCATTAATACATATTGGTTATCAAATAGTTGTTCTCCTGGAGGGTGTAGCAGAAGGCTGTACTACTTAGTGAGGATCAAAAACTCGTTCTCTGCTATCGTAGCTCCATGTCTGCATTGGTCATTTGACGCAATGAGATGCTGCAGCACCCATTAGATTCTGCTGAAATGGCAGCATGGCATGAAGTTGCTCTCTAGAGAATTCTGAATGTCTAATTAATGTTCTTGAGTGTAGTTAGGGATACAGGTTACTAATTAGCATTTTAACTAGGAGATGCAATCCTGTGCATCCTTACTGTTAAATCTACTTTTCATTTCTTGTTCTTGAGGCACGCGAATTTGTGAGCCGAGCTTCTCAATACTACTGCAAGGTAGGGAAATACCTGTCTCGCCAATGGAGAACAAGTACAGGGCTAAATACTTGTGCAAGCTCACACAGGAATTCTGGCCAAGCCAAAAAAAAAAAATCAGAAGAGAACGTTTCATTTAAGACAGCTCCTGAAATTAAGGGTCTTCATCCATCTGGTAATCTGAAAGTTTAAAAAGTAGCAGGGGAAAAGCAGCCCTCTCAGAGTTATTTAAAAAAAACCCAAACAATTATTTAACCAGTCTCTAGGAAGTTCGAGAAGGAAGTTAAACATGTAATATATAATTAAGATGGAAAACTCTTTCAACAATAGATATTAGCTATCAGTATTCAACTACAACTATTATGCATCTCCAGGGTCCAGCATTTAAGCCTACATACACGAGTGATTAAGTCTCTAGCCTCTACAGAGAGGAAGGCTGAAACTGAAATGCCACTTAGAGCACAATATAAAAAGGGCAGAATTAAGGAGAGACAAACTTTACTTTCACTGATGGCTTATGAACTGCTGCCAGAAGAACCTAGAGAGGAAAAAAACCCTTCAGATTTGAAAGTTTCACCATTCAATGCTTAAACCTTTGTTTTCCTTTTTATATTAGCTAATTGAATATTTCTTCTGACTTGTACGCGTTTTAGAAGCCTTGTTTCGCCACCTGAATCCTGATGTTGAGAAAGTTGTGTTATTCAGTAAAAAAAGTCCAACAAAAGCAGAGATTCAGAAGTTCCTTACAGGCTACGAAGAAAATGCATTTAGTGCTCCATGTTCTAACTACATTCATATTTTTAACATACCATTTGCTTTCCCGTCAGCTTGTTTACCTTAGGTATCATTTGTGCTGCAGTGCAAGACATCTATTTTTGTTGACCTGGGTCCATGACTACACAGTTAATTCACTTATTCAATGTAAGTCACCCTGAGAGGCATATACTCGAAAATTTACAACAGTTTTCCCGTTTTATCTTAAACATCCCTCTGTACATGAATGGATGAAGGCACAGGATGTGCAGGCTCACAGCTTTCACATTAAGGTCTTTTGTTGAAACTGTTCCACCTGTTCTCAGCCCTCTAAGAAAAAAAAGTCTTGAGGACTCCACTTTGTGGAAGAGCTCTATAAAAGCCTGAACGATGATTTTAAGTACTAAGGAGAAAATGAGAAACGTTAGGTACGTGAATTAGGAAATGTTAATTTCATGCACTTTAGGAACACACACTCACACCCCACAGTAGTAGAAGCAGTAGTAGAGGAAAACACTACATGTGTAGGGGTAGAAATATTTGTTACATCATGGTGCTGGCTGGCGATGGAGGGTTGCCGCCTTAGAGCCCCCTGAATGGTACTTCCACTCTGGAAAGCATTCACTACATCCATCTGCAAGGAATCAGAGATTGTGACAGCTTGCTCAGCAAGAGAGAGAGAGAGAGAACAAGAGAAAGGACCATCCCATCTATAACACACAAAAAGTAAAGAAAAAAAGGCACTTTTTTTTATAGAGCAGATACACAGGCAAGAGTTGCTTGCATTTAGAGCTGAAGAAAACAGAGGACCCTGAGGGATTACACATCCAGCCATACCCCCTTTTGACAGCCTCAGTCACACCAGTTAGAACTGCCACCTTAGTCAAAGGACTGGAGATGGAGAGATTTCCCTCATAACACCCACTGCGTCCTACCTTTCTCAAGACCATACCTGAGTTTGTATCCTGTTTAGGCCCCTAAACCACAAGATCTGACCGCGACGTAATTCTCTCTCAGCATGATCGATCTCCTCTACATCTTCTGCTAGTTCTTCTTCAGGAATCTCTTCCTTTTGTGTTCCATGACCAGCTTCTTTAAGGAATTTCAGACGGCTGGTTGGAATTGTTGAAATCAACTAACGGTGAATGAAAAATATGAATCAGGATTATTCTTTTTTTAAAAAAATAGTAAATGTAATACCAGGCTTAAGGCTTAACATAATATCCTGCATACGCATAGCAAAGTTGAAAAAATGATTATGTAAATGGGATGAGTGCATCAATGTAGAGCAATCGCTCCAGCTGAATAGCTACAAAGCTGTGAATATCCTCACCACCCTAACTGAGGTGTGGAAATTAAACATGGACTACAAACCTAGAAAACAAAAACACCCTTGCCAGGGCAAAAGAATTCCACTTATAGTTTACTTGACTATGCCAGGAAGGAGCGGTACCGAAGCTACAAGAGCCATTAATTCTGTAGACTGTGCTTGTATCTAGAGCTTTCAGAGCTCCCTCAGTTTGACGAGCATGATGTATTACTTCAAGTGAGAACCACATCATTTAATTAAAGCAGCCACAGTTAATTCAGAAGTACAGAACAGACATGCATTCTTTTGTGACCTGGAAGGTATTGATCCATTTGCAAGACCAGTGACGTTTCCAAAATCCTCAGCCCAGACTGTTACTTTGCTACTTGGTGTACAGTAGTTCATCTATCTTAAGCTAAACAAAAGCTACATATGGCTGTTCCAGCTTTCCTTTTCATCCCCACCTTCAGGGCTATTCTGGTGAACTATGTAGTTAAGGGGAGTCATCTTTTGATACGTCCCGTCTAGCAGCTCCAGATCAGTTCCAAGACTGCTCTCCTTGATCATCACAAACCTAGAAGACCACTTCAGCAGCTGCAGAGGAAGAAGACTGCTCCAAAAGCAAGATAAACAGCCCTTTATGCTGAAATTGCTACTGCGAATGCTCCCAGATCACACTTCAGTTTCTACTATTCTCAGAAAGTCAAAAGCTCTTTGACTTTAATGAGATGCTAAAGCAGCATGAACTGCAGCAAGGAAGCTTTGCCCTTGCAGGACACTTTGGGTCAAAGGTATTTCAAGCCATCTCGATTCTCTTCTAGGCTACTTCCAACCTCAGAGTGACTCTATTTGATTTTTTTTAAATAATTAATTTTCCAGACAACCTTATTAAAAAGCTTATACCCACTTTAAGAATATGCATCTATGTATGTATTTACAACTAAAATTCACCCTACCAATTTTATACTGAAACCTGAAGTGTCTTTTACAAAACAGAAGGAAAGAAACTGCAATGGAAAACTCTTCATGTGGTATGAAAAGTTTAGACAACTGTGTCATTAAATAATGGAAAACTCCATAGCTCGAAAGTTTCATGTAAATAAGCTTGCTGCTTACAAGCACTGTTGTGCACGCAATAGTATTGAAACCTTAAAGGGGGGGGGAGATAAAAATCAAAATGCAATAGCTCAATAGATGGGAGAACTTTCCAATTATTTCATAAATATGCAAATGAAGATTAAAGAGAAAGTTGTTTTGAGTTTTGCTGCATTTCTTGCTACTCCACTAAGTTTTTAAATCAAGAAAATACTACCAAGTTTAACAATGCTGATTTTTCAAGAAAACCATTCAACACTAAGGTAATTATATTTCAACATTAACATGTACATCGCATGTATTCTTACAGAACTTCTTCTAGTACTTATCTGGCTAAAGATAATTTCATATTTAAAAGGTAACTATGGCTGCTTCTAGTTAAATTACTAAACATAAACCAGCCATAGCATCTAGTTATGAAATGCAACTAATGGACCAAGTCAGAGTAAGGAATATCCAACTAAGGACTTTCTAGCTATTGAACTAGTCAGTTTTAATCAGTACCTACTGTTAATCTCCATATATAAGTATAGTCCACTTGAAAGATCTGAATGCTAAAGTCAGTGTATTTGTATTTTCTGCATAAAGTATTCTGATGCAAGTAGATATTTAGCATTTTGAAAAAGCTAGTTTACCTGGCCCCAGAGTAGTGTTCCCATGCCCAGGAAAATGGACCACAGCCACTGTTCAATTGAGAGTTCTGAGCAACTGAAGGGCTTCCCACCGAACTGCACAATAATGATCTGTGAAGAGCAACATCGTTAAACAACATGTATCAGTGACCTGTTACTAGAAAATTCCCTAATGCTTCAAGATCGCTACAGACAACTCTGCATTAGAACATAGCATTTCCGATCTTATTAAGCAGACACCTCCACTGTCTCAGCAGTGTGAGCAAGTTTCCAAGACTAAGTCATCTTCTTATGGCTTTCAGCATCTCAAGAACTACCTATTTATTCTTTGAATGCCACACTCACAAAAACCTGTTGACTCCTTCAGTTTACTTGCAGTTCTTTCCCTTAATTTCACAATTACAGCATGTATTTGATGCTCCAAATTTACAGTGATTATTTATCATATGAACACCCATCTCAGAACAAAGTTTATTAATCAACTTCTATTAAGAGAAGTCATAGATCAACGAGACATGAAACATTTCAGAAATAATTTAACAGAATATTACTATGTATCCCATCACTGTTAAATGTCAAGACTTTAAATCATCACAGTGTAACACTTATGTAGTAAGTCTTGGGGGGAAGAGGCAGAGATCTCAAAAGCTGAATTAAATGAGCTCCTACTGACTTACCTATTACAACAAGCTGTACAGGCCCTAATGAGCAAGGTATCCCTCTGCATAGGAATTATATGCATGAAAGTCTGCCCTGGAGAATCAACAATTCGAGTAGCAGGGCAGGTGTGAAAAGGAGACAGTATTGACCATTAAGTAGGACACCTGACAGCTGAAAAGCCCAAGGGTATCTTCTTTTATTAACACAGAATAAAACACTGAGACAACAACTCAGGAGTTACTTGTTTGGGAAGGCATTCAGTCCACCAAGTTTATAAAGGGAACACAGTTGCAGTCAGGAGTAATTTCTACATATTTGGCTTTGTTGCACAACAACAGTCGGTCTGCTGCATGTGTAACCCTAAAAATAACAGTAGCTTCTGAAGAAGTGTCATCTAAAAAAACCTAAACCTGGGAGAATAAGTGAACTAACTTTACGTGAAGCAGAGGTGCATACATTTGCATTGCTTGAACCGCTACGAATGTGGTCAACTTCACGGAATCCCGAGTCCAAGGAGAAGCTTAAGGCATAGGTTATATCTTAAGTCCAAAATAACTTAAGTCAAAATGAAAGAGTTCTGAAAAAAAAGTAGTTTACTGATTTGTTAGTTACTTCTTGTGATGAATTAAAACTAAGGCCATTTAGAAGGTAAAACTATTTCTTGTAAACAATTTCCTTTAGATTAAATTTTGACTCGGTGTTTCTCAACACCAGCGTGTTAACCCAATCAATTTCAGATAATTTCATTTCATTTGTTAGCATATACTGAGGTAACTATCTAGCTTTTACAGTCTGCCTAGATGCACCAACAGAAGGTCCCTAGACATCAGTGTTTTTCACCTAAAACAGCAGCATCTATATACAGAGAACTGTAAAATATATACCAATACAAATAACTGGTCTATGCATCAGGAATATAAAAACTGATACTTAAGTTTCTAAAGTTTATTCATGTCCTAATCTCATTAAGAAGATACGAGACATTGTAACTTTTTTGGTAATTGTTTCAATGGGCTCTCCTTCAGAGGCACAGGCAGATACTATGAGGAAGAGTTCCGACTTGGGAGGGAACATACAACTTCTTCACATTTTGTTATGAGACTAGAACACTAAGATCAAATTGAAGGACTAGAAAATTCAAAAGGTAAAATACAAGTACTTCTACATTCTAATTTTACCAATTTCAAAGAGGTCTTACCTGAAAACCCTGTCAAGCAGCACTTCCAAGTCATTTATAGCGTGTTTGATACTGAAGGTTTTTCCACATTGCAGAAATGAGATGCCTGGCACTACCTGATTAGCATTTCCAAGGTAAGCAAGTACATCAGTGTACTAAGTGCATTTTCCCCCCACCCTCCAAGAATTTACTTACCTGCACAACAAATGTCCCCAGAACAATAGAACAGAAGATAGCGTTGTTAAAGATTCCTTCAAAAACGTTTCTTTCACCATGAATTTTTCGCGCATTAATTTCATTAAAAAGCTGCATCATCACAAATGTGTTAAATACAATAGTATAATGCTCTGAAGGAGGAGCATGCAGAGGTGCATTTCTTCCACTATCGATATCAAAAATTTTCTCACCTGTGTATAAAAGGCATTTATCAGAAGCTTAATTGGTGTCTTAACACACACACTACAACAAAAAACTAGTTTTAAGATCACATCTCGGTACAACGTTTAGAAAAACTTTGTAAAGCCTCAGTGTTCTTACCAGCGAATAGGAGCGTGAAGACCACTACGAGTTGGTAGAACGCATGACCCAAAATGTTCTTCATCATTGTACGAGAAATCAAAGGTTTGTTTCTACCATAAGGCTTTCGCAACAGAAGGGCTTCAGTGGGTGGTTCTGTTGCCAGGGCAAGAGAAGCTAATGTGTCCATTATGAGATTTACCCACAGCATCTGCACAGCTTTAAGCGGAGAATCCTATAAAGATAGATACATAAACCCTCCAATATAAGTGAACAAACTGCAGCTATTAAAGGCATTTATTACACAACATGGGCATGTTCTGAAGAGCATTATGTTCTTTGGACTAGTATTTAACTGGAAGTTTGAATTCAAGAGTTAATCGGTCACGACATTTTCAACCTTTATTAGCTGAAACAATCCACCACCAGTACGTACTTGTGTTATGCATGCTCCTGTAAAAGCAACAATTACTGCTACTACATTGACAGTAAGCTGGAACTGAAGAAATTTGGAGATGCTGTCATACACATTTCGTCCCCACATAACTGCTTTAACAATACTTGTGAAGTTGTCGTCTGTAAGGATAATATCAGAAGCTTCTTTAGCTACGTCTGTTCCAGCAATACCCTGGTAGAAAAAGAAAAACACTATGAAATATAACAGGACGCACTGACTTATGTAATAGAAGCTCTTAGTACATCCTTGGTCAGCATTGACTTTGATGTACCATGCCTGAAGGACCGTTTTAATGTAAGCACCTAAAGTTCTACTGAATCAAGTTTCACTTGCAAGTTCTACTCAAGCATGGGAAAAACATAAACAACAACAACAACGAAAAAGGTAATGTTGCCTTTAAAATAAAGGCCTTAATAAAAATCCTCAATTAAGACACTAAAGACTGTGTAAGTTCTCCCACCAAAGGAATGTTACTGAACCCTGTTCAAGTTAAAGGCCACCAGATGGTGCAGTACTACAGGTTAGTCTATGTCCTAAGAGTTTGCTATATGGATTCCCGCAGCAGCGCAATGCATGTGTTCATAACACAGTAGAATGATACACATTACCAAAAGCCTTTTGCAGAAGAGCATTGACATTGAACAGTAGAATATGCAATATGACATTCTTAAGTTTTAATCACCTGTAGTCTCCTACAGTATCCAAACAGTTAATCTGAGTTCTGTGTAATACCTACTTCAAAAATACTTATTTTGCTTTCAGCATTTCAAAAACACTAACTCAGGAGCAAATTTAATGATCCTTATTCTTGATGCATTATTTTGCAAAGGAAATGAGTCACCTGCACAGTATGTGTATACCTTAAAAGGTACCTTTAAATATCACGTAGTAGGTGGTATATTTTAAGTGCTATTTAGATAAGAAGTTAGAGAAATTAGTTTCTTGCACAGATGAACATAAATGTTTCCTGAAGTTGCTGTCTAAGTTCTGGAAGATAAAAATAAATCTGCCCCTGATAACGCCAACTACAGCAGCTATACAACAGCAGAAAACAGATACTTGTTAAAACAAGACTGTTACAGTCTAGAGAACATTTCATGTGTAGCTGTCAAATTTGTAAGTTATGCTTTTGGAAAATGCTCCTCGAGAATGACGAAAGCTCTTCCCATTTTTTCCTTCAAGATTAGCATCTGAGTCAGTGCATCTGCATGTGGTGTAGGAGGAGTGTGGTCTTCATTATTTTTTTTTTTTCTTTCAAATGCTTAGCACCAAACTGTATCTTTTCAGCTTAAGGCTGAGGAGGAATCTAGCTCAGTGTTTTGAAAGAGACAGGAGAAAGCTGAAGCTACATACTTAAGGCATGAGTCTGTCTAGTATTAGCACTTAAAGCCAAGACCGGGTTTGGCTAACCATTTGAAAAGGTAGTTGAGAATTTAAACTGAGAACACCAAGTAATCCAAGGAACCATCCAGACAAATGCAGATCTTAGATTGCCATAAAATGCTGTTACTTCAGTTGTACTAGAGGTGTCCCCTAGTATAGCCACCAAAGCCATTTTAAACATTAACTGGCAGTCTCTCTTATTATAATCTCCCTGTTCCTATGCATCGTTTCATGGAAAACAGATGAATAAGCTCATTGCATATTGCATATAAGCTTTACTCAAAATCAACATAGCATGCTATTTACCACCTAAAGTCATTTTGCCTTACGTTGAACAGATCTCACTTCAGAAATCTTCAGTATCAGTAGTTCTGTTCCTACATTTTGCAACAAGCCTTTGTGTAAAAAGGTTTTGATTTACAAGTGACTGGGGATCTGTGTTGAAGTTCTATTCAATGGCAGATGCCACAAGGACATTTTCCATCAAATAAAAACATGGTTAAGTTGAAGACTGAGGAAGGAGGAAAAAGTAATTGGTATTAAGTGAGAGAGATGTTGACTCCATTAACTTAGTTGTGTATTAGGCTCATGAAACAAGCAAGGTTGTTTAATATTCTTAAGTGATAAGGTCTCCAAAATACTTAAGAAAATAATCATACCATAGCAAATCCAACATCTGCCTTCTTCAGAGCTGGACCGTCATTGGTACCATCACCAGTTACTGCTACAACTTGCCTCTGTTCAAAGACAGTGCTGTCAATTATACCTAAAATAAAATGATATCTCTGTTACAGTTCAAAATTGACAACACAGCACAGATTAAACCTGCAAAAGAAACCCAGTTTTTGTCTTCCTCAGTCATAAAAAAAATAATTAAAAAAATTCACAACAGATAGTTCTACTTGGCTCCATTTCGAAGCAGGGGGAAAAAAAAAAAAAAAAACTACCCCCTCCCCCCCCCAAAAAAAACCCAGTTGGCAAATGAAGACAACCTCATAGGTACTACCCACTACTCAGTCCTAGATTTTTTTCTAGGAGCAGAAAAAAAAAACAACCTAGCTTACTTAGAAGCTCAGTTTTTACTTACCTTTTACTAGAGTGTGTTTGTCAGTGGGAGAAGATCTTGCAAGAACACGAAGCTTTGGCCAAATTTTATCTATTCGCTCTTGCTCTATCTGCAAAAAGAGCACTGGTTATATTTTACAGTTAGGAGACCTAGAATATCTGCTGATCTACTTTACATAGTCAGTATGCTTACCTCTCCTTTTTCGTTGCGTATTCTCCTGTTAAAGTCTTTGCCCTCTAAACACAAGAAGTCTTCGCCAGGATTCAGAATACCACATTTTAATGCAATAGCACGAGCAGTGTTAATGTTATCGCCAGTGACCATACGTACAGTTATGCCTGCACGTTGACACTTTTTTATTGCATCAGGTACCTATAAGGAAAAAAAAAAACCAAACACCTCAAGACTGTTGTTATGGAACATTTTAAAAACTTTAAGTAGCTTGCCACAATTCTTTTCCTGCAAAACACACACATGGCAATTCTGGCAAAGAGGCTTTGTTATTGTTAAGTCATGTCTGCCCGTGTCCCGCCATCCCCCCCGCTTCATTTTTCAAATACTGCAGTATTCAAAAATACCACAAAAATCCTCCGTAGGCTGTAGTATTCAAAGGTACTGAGTACTGGCTTCTTATTTATGATTATGTGAAATAAACTACAGCTCACACTCTACTACTACGCCCATGACTTTCAGTGTGAAGTGATGATAGCACAGGTCAGACTGGAGTTCCACTTACATGTGGCATAAAAGCTTTCACTATTGAAAAATACCACCCTCCTTAGACCTCAACCGCAAGGTGGACTCCTTCCCCCAGTCCTCAGGTGACAAACCCTCCTCTCCATCATTCCCCATGAGAAGCTGGCAACAAGCACAATGGCTAATATTATCCTAAACAATACTCCTAATATTCCAAGTGGTAAAAAAATGACAAGTTCCATCTACTGAGACCCTGCACAGTAAGCGCCTTAAGTCATTAGTTTGTACAGAGCTTCAGTAACACAGCATAAATGACCTTAAGAAGTTTTAATCTGCTTTTATAGCACCATTAACTCTCCCCTCAATAAATTAGATTTTCATTCATCAAGTATGCTTAAGGCATACAATAGCGATTCAGTTTCTTGTACTCTCTGCATGATGAACAAGAACAAGAATCAAGATCCACTGTAAGAGAATCACTGCAGTTTAGTCAGTGACCCTACCTCAGGTCTCACAGGATCTTCAATCCCAACAACAGCAATGCACGTCAGACCAGTAACAATATCATTTTCATTGTCCCATTCCGGCTCAGGTTCCCCTGCTGGGAAGTCTCTGAACGCCAGGCAGATGGTTCTGAGCCCTTCAGAAGCCATTGGCTCAATTACAGTTTTCACGATATCATCACGGTCCCTAGGTCTAAACACCTTTGGTTCTCCATTAGCACTCAGTATTTTGAAGCACCTGAAAAGGAAAAGTTTAAAGAGTTATCAAATTTTAACCAGAAGTTCAGCCCATTCAATGGCTCATTAGTAAAATCCAGTAAGTTTCCACAAGGTTTGTTTTCACTAGACCCACACACGCAAAAAAAGCCAGTAGCAGCACCTCTAAGGTAACCTCCTCCATGTACACTTAATCTCTTCCCAATTGCAAAACATACTAGCTGTAGAAAGTTAACTGAGCCCTCCATCCTAGGATGAACATAATGCCCAATGAATGTAGGACACACACATTAGTTACCTCCTAGAAGTATCCATTTCTCCACTGTATGTAAACAGACTGGTGTCTGTGCTGGTTGAGTCAGTCAGTCCAGTTTCAAGTTCAACAAAATAATCCCACCTTGTTAACAGTTATACAAGTCTCAGAAGTACAGTATGCTGCCAGAACATGCACGTGGTGCTTAAACAGCTGCAACTTATGGCACTAAAAGCAAACTCTGGTACTGCTATGCTTAAAAGTAGTAAGGTTTGTCATCCATTCCACCCCGCCCCAATCTAAGTCCAGAAAATTCAGAGAGCAATAGAGTTCTTAATGTAAAGTATTAAAATAAAAACAAATACTTAAATTGGATTTAAATTTTTGTATAAGAGATTAGATTCAACACAAGGTACTCTAGCATTGCAACACATGCTCTTTTAGTTATGTTTCTTCATGCCAAAGATGCCACTGCTTTCCTAGACGGCATACATAATTAACCAATATTGATGCCATGAATATAATGCTACCAAATATTTTGAACAATAAATTTAGTCTTGTTCATCTTAGCAAAGTTTTGCCATAAAGCAATGCCATAAGCATTTGTTTTACAAATTAGTACTAAAGTGGCACTGAAGAAAATATAAGAATTTATGACTCTCTTTAAAATATCAAGTTCAGACCTGGCAGATCTGCTAAGATGACTACTGCTACATTTAAGTGTTTAGTCCAAGGGTTGAGGGAATTCCCAGTTGCAATACATATAAAAAAGTTTCCACCTCAGCCAGGAAATGGAAAGGAAGCAGTCCCTTAAAGCTTCATAGTATTCATCACAGCTGAAATTTGAAGTCTATCAGAATTTCCTGATTTGGGTTATCTTTTCAAATGTCAGCAACCACTAAGGATATCTTGTGTTACCTGCAATCATAGGGCTTGTGATAAATTCAAAGCATTCAAAGATGTCTAAATGGAAGCCAGTAAGCTTTATGTAAAGATCTCATTGAAACTCACTTCAAACATTTGACTTGATGGCAAGGAAAGAAGAATAAAACTGCTCTGCTTGAAAAATTTTGCTGCATTTCTTCTACACTTATTAGTGACTTGTTTGTGTCTTATAAATATTCATGTTTAAGCTTTCAGTGCTCAAGAATAGTCATACATGTTATAACAAAGACTGAGCAGCACAACTGACAAAACAGGTTACAGGATCTGAGATTAATTTCTGGCACTGCATAGGTAGTGGCTAAGGAAAGTGGCTTATGACGCCGAGACTTTTTCCTAGTCGGTGCATACTCTGAGATAGTTTTGGAATTACAACTATTCCAATAGTATCCAAATCAGTCTAGGCTTTCTTGTTCTTTGCCAAATGCCCTTATTATTTATTTTCTTATCTCAGTTATGAAGCCAAGTGGACCACATGAGTCTGGGCTGAATGAGTTCCAGCAACTTCTACAGTTCAATTGCTCAATAAGATAATAAGGTACAAAATCCTTCTGAAGGTAGAAGTAATGCAAAATATAGGCATACTTGTTCACTGACGAGACTTGGCTTAAAATCTAGCTCTGAAAAAAAAAATCGCATCTAAATCTAAGTTCTGTATCAAAAGGAACAAGAGTCCTTTAACAACTGACCCTTTGTGGTCAGCACTAAGTTGAGGAGAAGGAAGATTTCATCTTTTTTTATTTTCTTTAGTGCATTAGTACTTTCCTAGATAATAATTTGGGGGGCTAGTAGTGAGCAAAAAGGTAAACTGAACTGATGAACATTATCTATGCACTACTCGGACTAGAAATAGTCTGACGTTAGAACCAAAACCAGACTGGCTACCACTGCTGCTCCTAGAGAACATGACACATACATGCTTGACTTCTCTCCTCACCTAGTTAGGAGTTACCACAGCCTTCTTTACACCTAAAGGTTTGTCCCAGTGGTGACTAATCTCCCGCTTACAGTCTAATCTCATTCTAATAAATCCTCTATAGATGGGCAGGTGGATAAGGAAGCAATTTCCTTTGTCACATTAAAAACCCTCAAGTTTCTCCATGGGCCAAGTTCAAGCTCTTGTTAAAATGATCAACTTGGACACCAACTTGCACAGTCTTTTGAAGCTAAAAAGTAATCACTTTTCAAAGGCAGGTCCTTCCTGGAATTTAGGCATATCACCTGGTGGGACATTACTGGAAGATGGGTGCCCATTTTGACCAACCACACCTAAACCATCAAATAGCTTAACTAGAGAATAGATCAATTCATAGGTGCTTTCCTGTATCAGAGCAGAGTTTGCAAGTTGAAATTAATCACAACCAGCTCTTTTTTGGGGGGGTGGGGCTGGGGTGTGGGAATTAAAGTAACTGAAATGTTAATTGCCCATCTTACTCTAGAAAGTCAAACAACTGAGGGAGGCAAGCTGGGAAGCTGGCTGCATCACAAGGGTATAGGACTGCTGCTCTTGTTCGTGAAAAGGGGACAGAAATATATCACAGACTATGGCACAATGTTGTTTAGCACTTCAGTCTCCTCACCTACCACAACATTTAGCCAAATTTAAGTGCTGAATTACAATAGTAGTTGTTCTTACTTTTTAAGAACTATCTCAGAGGCACCTTTACTGAATATCCGGAAACTGCCATCAGAGTTTTTTAACACGGTACTCATAGATTTTCTAACAGAGTTGAAGGTGTACACTTTGTACAAATCCTCTTCTGGTATCTCATTTCTTACGTCCTGATAATCACGTTTTAAATCCAAGAGCAATCCCAGCAAGGCACATTCAGTTTTATTTCCAACATGACGTGGTAGGCCACCTTCTTTTTCAGGAGGCTGCAAGAAGAACAAGAACCTTCACTGATTAGGAGGTTAACTCACGAACCACTAAAGTACAGCATTTACAAAACAAGGAAGCTAAGGCCAGGCTTAGCTCTGGGATGGGGGAGTTTTACCATGATTACTCTACAAATTCCTATGAGTCATGAGCCAAATTCATACTGCTGGCTTTTGTAAGTAACAACTTCTGTACCTGTTTAGGATCTTTCAGTCGCCTTCTCAGACTCAAAAATCACCCATTAAGTTGTATCAAATCCCAACATGACCTTTCTAAAAGGCATTTTCCATTGTTTGAAATATTTATCTGACCGAGTGCAGTCCCTGAATAATTATTTTGCATTTTAAAAGTACAGACAAGTTTAAATAAACTGATTTAAAGCAAGCTAAATGGCATTTTTCTGCTAAATTAAAGTATCCTCTCCTGTAATAACTCTTCCTCAATGACTTAGACTACGATCACATCACCTGTTAGCCTTCTACTGAACAAACTAAGTCTTTAAGCTTCTTAAGTCTCACTACAAGTTCCGCTTTCCAGGCCATGGCCTATTTAACTGGAAAGAGTTCAGAAACAAGTTTCCAACCCTTCAATACCAGAACAAATTTCTTATTTCAGCAATGTGGAATATGCACGCACTAGCGCTATAAGTAAAGGAGTATTTCTCTCAAGATTTTTCTGAGCTTATATAGCTATAACATTGCAGTGTAGTTTGTAGCAAAAAAGGCAGAAGCCCTTAACTCAGCCTGACGTGCCTCACGCAGCTACAGCTGAACTATATTAATCAGAAGTCAGTGATCCATTTTCTTCATTCAGAGCTGGAAGATCTTGGATTTGGCTGTTCTGAATATTCACACTTTCAAAATGTTCACTTTAATGTGCGGTTTAAGCTGTCCAGTTCTGGGCTCCCCAGTACAAGAGACATGGGCATCCAGGAGCAAGTCCAGCCACAGGCCACAGAGATGATAAAGGGACACCACAAAGATGATAAAGGGACTAGAGCACCTGACATGAGGAGAGGCTGAGAAAGCCATGACTGGGCAGCCTAGAGAAGAGAAAGCTCTGCGGGGAGAAACTTATCAGTATGTATTAAATGCTCGAATGGGGCAGGCGGTGGAGCGATGGTACAGACTGCCAAGCCACACTTCTTAGTGGTGCCCAGTGAGAGGACAAGCAGCAATGGCTAAAAACTGAAACTCTGGAAATTCCATTTGAACAGAAGGAAACACCTTTTTACTGTAAGGGCCGTCAACTACTTGACCAGGTTGCCCAGAATTTGCAGAGTCTCCATCCTTTGAGATTCTTAAAACCTGGCTGGACATAGCCCTGAGCAATGTGCTCTGGCTGACCCTGCTTTGAGCAGGGCAGGTGGACCAGAGGATCTCAAGATGTCCCTTTCTGCCCTCTGAGATTCTGTAAAACAGACTAATTCTGCCTGTATTGGATGCAATTTGATCAAAATTGTAGTAGTAAGGGACCTGGTCGGTTTACATGGAGCTACTTTTTTTTTTTCTTTCTATAAAAAGTTCTTTAGAAAATAGACTGTGAAACTCCTCACATACTATAACTCATTAGTAGTGTTTCAGAGAAATCAGTGCTGGTGATCTTGGTGTGCCACCTCAAGTACTGCTATCGAGGAAATTCTTGCAGAGGTACCATCTTTATTGGCTGAAAACTAGCTTTTGGACTGAAATTTTACTGCTATTCCTCTACAAAGCATTTGTAGTGGAAACTTCTACTAAATCTTGCAGTGCTGATTTATTTATTTTTTAAAGCTAAATCCTAATTATTATTTTTACTGCCTTAAAGAATATAAGTTATGCAACACATTGAAATAACTACAGCAAGGAATCTATGTTTGGAGTTACAGAAAATGATGCACAGAGAAGTGCTAAGTAGCCCAGTATTTAAAATGCGTAACAGTCCATTATTCTTTTTATTTCAAAATATTTTGGAAGTCTCAAAGAAGGTATGAGGAAAGATGTTACAGTTCTAAAGCCTACAAACTCATACAACAGTATCTGGAATAAAAATCCATCAAAATCCTCATCTGTACTTGCATTTATTTTCTCATTGCATTCTAGCTAATGTTATGCTACTCTTGCGTGTTTACTTTGAAGTAGCACTCAAATCGAGCCAAGATGCTCTTCAAGTAAGGTAAACAGCCCCACTTATAAAAATAAATTTAGACACAACTGTGAACTTAAAGGAAGTTATCTTCCTGAGATTGTATCTTGGAATTATCAGTTCAAAACCTAAATTATCAGTTCTAACTGAAATAAGTTATTTTTGAAATTTAGTCTCAAATGAACGCTTGAGCAATTTACAGTAGGTACAAAATACCTTACACTGCATTTTGCCACACACTTACACTTAACTGCCTACCATGTGGCCACCAGACAATTCGCATCTTTTGAGGAAGTTGTCGAGTTATCTTGATTCGAATGAAAAAATCCACTTACCAGTATTTTGGAAGTATAAGCACAATTAACAGAAATTCCTGTCACAAGGTAAGCCATAGTTTTTTCTGGAATAGCTTCTGGTTCTGGAATTTTTTTATAATGTTTTTCATTGATGTAGGCTTGGACCACTGTCATTCTGTTCATGGTCAACGTTCCTGTTTTATCTGAGCAAATAGCTGTTGCGTTACCCATTGTTTCACATGCATCCAGATGTCTCACCAAGTTATTATCTTTCATCATTTTCTAGGGAAATAAAAGCAGTCAACAGCTGTCCATGACCATTACTTCACATTTCAGAAATTCTAATTTAGGATGTCCGGTCTTACACAGCAGTTTCAGAAGATATTCAGCCTTTATCTGGCATCTTACAGAGGAAGAATTTGTAGCTGCCACATTGTTTATTATGTCACAGGAAACTTCATTTTGAACAAGGTTCATAAATACATTCTTAATCTCCTGTATCTGCCTGTCACACTGACTACTGATACTATTCAGACTGTTACGAGCAAAAGATTTATCGTGATATTTTGAAAAAGAGGAGAGGTACAGACTGAGCTTTACCAGATACAACATTAAAAAAAGTCTTTCTGCTTACAAGAAAGATCAGGTAACGTCAGACGATATATATTTCAAAGACGCTAGAGTCAGACTTAAAATCAAATACAAACTGGGAAACTAGTGTTTCAGCTAAGGTAGTGAGGACTACACAAGTTTCATAAGTCAAATATTGCTTTAAATTCTTTACTTAACAGGTTTGGATAGTATTTTAACCTCAAAGAGGCAGAGTAACTTCAAATGATACAATACTAAGGCCACTACCAGTTAGTGCTGCAAGTTATTAAGTTTTAGAAAACAACCTAAACAGCCATTGTCTTTACAAATAGATTTTCAGATCAATAACCAGTCCCAGCATGCTGAAGCAATAAGAAAATTAAGAGAACAAAGAGCATGAGTTAAAAAAACATGCTGTGTGATAAATAGAAAGCTATATGTTCTACAATAATCAGCCCTCAAGGAGAATCAATCTGGAAACTTTTGTGGTAGTTGCTTAACACACCAGTTAGGTAGAAGTTCAGGTTTACAGAAGAGTTCGTTATTTGCAAACTCTAAAACATCTATTTATAACAAGCAAATGCTACAACGTTATGAGCTAAACCCTTTCATCTTTAGTTGGTGACAACAGGCTGTCACTGCTCACTGTTCGTGTTAGTAGTGTGTATTCAGAGACTAAGAAAAATACTGTGGCAGGAAAGGCTTCTCCCCAGTCTGTTACATATATGTCACGCAACATATCTCAACTGAGATTTTACAGCTGATGAATATGCCCACCCGCCTTTAAAATCTGTTCCCCATCTATCCACTTACCTTAACAGAGTAAGCCAGAGATATAGTGACTGCAAGTGGAAGACCTTCTGGTACTGCCACCACCAAGACTGTAACTCCAATAATGAAGAACTTCACAAAATACTGAATATAAATTGGTGTACATTCAGCCAGCCAAGGTCTCTTCTGAACCCAGAAGGTATCAATTACAAAATATAACACAAGGATAATGACTGTGATTGCAGACATCAACAAACCTTGTTAAAAAGAGAATAAACAGTTTTCAGAAATTAATCTCAAGTATTTGGCAATACAGACTGTGGATAAGTGCAAATACTTCTGCCTTTATAGCAGATAGTTTATAACTAAGACTTTAAACAGGCAAGTCAGAAACATTTAGGTACTTCTCAAAGGTATTCCAACTTCCAAAGCAAGTACTTCCTCATGCATTTCACCTAGAAACTAAATTTTTTATTTTGAGTCCCATTTAATTGAAAAGTGTAGATCTAATTATGAACAGGACAGACCAATATGTAAAGTCATTTGACTAAGGCAGAATAAGAACTGAAATAATTCAGCAGGCCTTCAACGATTGTACTACTGACTTAGTAGAAAAAGCTGCTGACAGCCTGTACCCTGCTTCCTGCTGAAGGTGGGATTAAATATGGCAGCTAAGCACAGTGTTCAATGAACTGGGAGTAACTGGGAAGACAAATCAGAACTGCTGTTAGCAAGCTGAGTGGCACATTTAAGACACCACTGAAGGAAAATGGACCTGGCTGGAATAAAGGAACAGAAGTCACTAAGTGTCAGCCTTTTACAGAAGGATGCTGCACTGTGTGTACTGTCCCAAAGCAGCAGGACAGAAAAATGCATGCATGAAGCAGATGAGCATTAAGGGTGCGTGGGGAATTACAATGGGTCAAAAGGTGCATAAACGAAAGCAAGAGCTCTTACTTATGAAAGATGTGAAAAATTTGTTCGATAACAACAGTATTTTACACTAAACATACCATGGAAGCTTTATTCAACATTTGTTAGTACAAGTTTCTCTGAAAAAAATAACATTGCTATACACAACCATGGAGTGCTAAAGCTAAAAGTTTAATTGCTTTGTCCTCACATTGTAACTGTCTTATGACATAGATGCTGAAGTCAGCACTTTTTGAGCTGTGGGCTGGGCTACAAGACTTCTAGAAGTCCCTTCTAGCCTAAATCTTTCAACATTTCTACATGGACCAAAATAAATCCTGAAATATTTGAATTAAACCTCTACAAATGAGATGACAGTATGATACCTAGTATGATATCTACATACTAGATTATAACTAGATGTAGCCTAAAATTTACACTGAACTTCACTGTTGTTTTAGTCTGCTTTCAAGAAGCAACCGTTTACCAAAAGTTTTGACAAGACAGCTGAGTATTAGCTGATAGAAGAGTAACAGAAGCTAAAGTATAGTAGAAAAGTCAATAAAAATGTTATGTATCAGTGAGGCATGTTAAGTGGAAATTCCTAAGCCTCTGGAAGTACCAGAGATAACCTGGTCGACCCTATCACATTTTCCAGACTTCACTCAATTTATAGTTCTCTAGGTACATCACTAAATACCGTGTCTTATCTATAAATATCTTTCATAACAGTTGTCCAGTGTTTGAAGTTTCTCTCCCAGAACCTGACACTCTAAAGCCTGAATCTATTTAAATCGAGGAAAAATAAAAGCCATCCACATGACACAGTCTGAGAAGCCACGAGCACACTCAGGCACAAAGGCATACTTGCACGCATTGGAATTTTGCACTTAAAATAATCAAACCGGTCAAGGCTAGCTACTTAACTTACCCCCTCACAAACTATGCATGTTCCAACTTTATTCAAACACGTTGCATCAACATAAGGAGGGTACTGATGCATCATACCTGCTTTGCCAATCTGAACTGCGAGCTTTGTAAGTTTGCCTTGAAGAACCGACTTTTCTTTCTTTGGCAAATTTGCTCTCTTCTTGTCTTTCTCGTCTCCATCCCCACCATCCTCACTCTTCAGTGGTTGCATTTCCATAGCTGCACCATCCTGAGCTTTAGCTAGAAGTTAGGATTAAATGAAGTTTAGCCATTGGAGAGTCCCCAGAATCAATGACACTTGAAAAGCTTAACGCCAGGCTCCACTAAACACCAGTACTTTGTAGTACCGTGTATCCAGAGATGCCATACTACACGTGAATGTTTAAATAAGTGTATTGGGCGTAGGTGCCCAGGTGCTGGCAGCAGGGGAGCTGCAGCCCGTGGGGAAGACCACAGTGAGGCAGGCTGTCCCCCCACAGCCCACGGAGGTCCACGGTGGAGCAGATCTCCACCTGCAGCCCGGGGAGGACCCCATGGCACAGCACATGGATGTCTCCTGAAGAAAGCTGCAGCCTGTGAAGGCTCCGTGCCAGAGCAGGCTCCGGGCAGGAGCTATGGCCCATGGGAGGGGGCTGCACACTTGTGCAGTCTGTTCCTGAAGGACTGTGTCCTGTGGGAGGGACTCCACAATGGAGCAGGGGAAGAACATGAGGACGAAGGAGCGGCAGAGACAAGTATTATGAACTGACCAAAAAATCCTATTCCCCAATCCCGCTGTGCTCCTCAGAGGGGAGAGGTAGAGGAGTCAGGACTGAAGCTGAGCCTGGAAGGAAGGGGGGGAGGTGGGAAAGGTGGTTTTAGTTGTTTCTGTTTCTCACCATCCTACTCTATTTTTAATTGGTAATAAATTAATCTTCCCCCAAGTTGAGTCTGTTTTGCCTTTGAAGATAATTAAGTGATCTCCCTGTCCTTATCTCAACCCACAAGATTTTCATCCTATTTTCTGCCCCATCCTCCTGAGGGGGAGCAAGAGAGCAGTTGGGTGGGCATCTGGCAGCCGGACAAGGTTAACGCACCTCAACAAGGTAGCTTGAAAATCATTGGTAAAGTTTACTATTGTAGTATCTAGCTATGTTGAGACTACCAAGTTCATTTAAGCATTTGCTTTGTGCAGATTCACTTGTGCCATCTTTAGCATAAGCACTGTGGATTTAAGTATCCAATATGCATTTTCAAGGGAAAGAACGTATTCATTCCATACACTCTCAGAAAATAGGGACTTGCAAGAAAGGATTAGAGAACCTGCATTTACCTTTGTTACGGTTTTCAACAGCTCCATCTTGCTTTTTACCTGTCAGAGAGGGGAAAAAGTTGCGTTTTAAATTGCCAGTGCAGAGTTCATTTCAGTGTTCATGTTTATATATAATGCATACATTACCATATGCTGAAACAAGGAACTGCCTTTTTAAAAAAAGTGTAGAACAAACTGGAGACAGAGGGCTGACATAACTGAGGCTTTAAAAAGTATGTCAACCCACAGAAACAGCTCCTATCAGTTTTTTGGACTTTACTTCTCCCATACAAAACTGCAGCAGTGTTATGCTACCATAGTTAAGTTTACACAAATTACTGATACAGACATTTATTGCTTGTGAGGAAAGCTTTTATAAGGCTTGCCTAAACTTTTTTCTAGGAAAGAAATTTGTGACATTAAAGTGATTCTGGTGGCCTCAGTCTTGCTCTCTGTTCTTCCAACACTCAGCAATTGGATCTGACTACTACTGTAAATGAACTGTAAGATCTCACTTCCAGAATCTGCGCTTTTGCACAATATTGCAGAAGCTATTGTAGTATAAAATATTTATAAATCCACACCAAAGCTTAATGGAGGTACAGTGCTGGATTACTGGATCTATGCTAACCCTGTTTACGCAAGCATGAACATAATCTGTTGGCAACATACCAATATTACACCACTAAGAGAATAGTTCAAGTTCATAATGAAATATTGCTCCTCCCTCTGTTCAGAAATGGAGTTCAACAAGAGATCATACAGGACAGTGAAATAATGAAAGAAATTAATGAGCAAAACATTAAAGGTAACTAAAAGATTGACACATCATGTGTAGCTTATTGGGGCAGGGGGGCACACTACCTTTTTTTCTTTGTGTTTTCATGTAAAAAGGTTTAGATACTACCTTGGCAAGTGACAAACTTTTCTCCTAAGTAGAGGAAGCAAGGGTTATAGTTACTATTTGCAATGACCTGAAATAAACGCACAAAACTGAGGAACTCAGAACAAAACCTAGAATTTTTCAATATCACTGGTAATTCATTAAGTCTTCAGCCTTAGGTTATGTAGACTGAAATGTACGAGAATACTCAGGTAGAAGAAAACCAAATCATCAAGCAGCCTGTCTGGCATGACATTTAATACCTCCACTACATTATTACTGTGGACAGTGACATAGTCGGATTTCTATATATAAGATTTGCCCCCCTGCCGAGCATCCTCAGAACAGCTAAGGAGAAAAAAAAACAAAACAAAAAACAAAAAAACACCACCATGTTTACCTTCTAGAGAAGATGCCACGCCACTTCAGACTTCTTAAAAACTCATTGTCTCCTAATTTGTTCTTCCCTAGTTCCCCCTTCCCTCTTACAAGAGCAAAGTTCTTTTGACACTTGAGTTACTTCTAACTCCTTGTACATACATTTGCTTTCACTCTGAACCAAGCCATACACAGCCAACTAAAAATAGCCACTTTAATCTCCTTAACATTCACAGAGAAGCTAATTTAGTTTAACCTGAGTTTTACCAAGGAGAATCTTATCAGACACCTAACTTAAGGGAAAGAGGAAGTATTCTATCTTGGCAGAAAAAAACCCCACAAGTGTTCAGGCCCTAGGATACACCAAAACACTACTCGTCAAAAAGAATTCTGCTTATAGAATAATAAACACTGGCAGAATATTAATAAAAGCTATGATCTTCTCCATATCTCCTGTAGCAGCTGGTACTGTTGCTTGCTTCCTTCTCCTTCCTCTGTAAGGGGAAGAGCAAAGGATGGAAACTGTTCCACACCAACCCCTGGAAGTGTTGCAGGTCAACTTTTGCTCTTCACTACCAGGCTGGAGCTTGAAACTAATTTTGAAGTTTCAATTCTTCTTGTAACAATTCTTGTCACTTACTCCTGAAGGAACTTACTACTAAAAGTTTCAGGAAGGGTCAGAATTGTAAAGTATTTGTGGATTAGGACAAGACAAAAAGCACAGTTCAATCCTAGCTCCTGCACAGAGCACACATTTCAACAATTGCCTCTTTAGTGTGAGGGCCACTGAGATTCCTAAGCACATTTCTGTATGGCTTTCCATTACTGTTTCATATTCCTCTGATGAAAAAAAGTGTATTTTTCTGCCAGGAATCCTCAGGCTCACTCCCATCCAGTAGACCTCAACAGTTTCTAGAAAAGTTTTTGCTGTGGTGAAGTTCAGACCTGAACATGCCTTGTGAGAGCGAGTATCAAAACATTACTGGTTAACATTTCTAAGCTTGGATTCTCAGGATAGAGGCTGCGGCTTACATGAGTGACCTTGTAATTCCAGCTACTGAGCAAGTCCTTCAGAATAAGGAAGACAGCCCATTTCACACTTCACGGAAGGGCCCCTCATCCCTCCAAAAATAAAGTTTACAGAAAAGTGCCACTACGGATTTGGCTTGTGTGTATCTCTGAGCATTCAAAGTTTCAGCTCTGGAAGAAAAGCAGTGGCAGAAGCAGCTGTCTGCTCATCTTTATCAAAGTCAGTTTAATATATGCTTAAGATATCCACAGACTCAGCAGTACCAATGGTACAAGCTTTTCCCCTTCAAGTGTCACAGAAGAACTCCCTATACAGGCCATTTTTCTATCTGTCAAAAGCAGAACTAGATATTATTAGGTTGAGTTATTGGTAATAACCTGTTTGCTGTAAACAAATATTTGCTATTAGACATGAATGTACTTTGCAGTCATACAAGATGGCAGTTTAACAATTTATACATGGTATGGCTGGTTAGCAGTTGCAAACTTTCCAGCCTCTAATTGATCAATGAGATCTGAAGTTTAATTAAAAATCGATGTGACAAGAGTTAGTAGTAGTGGTGTACTCTTAGGTCACTGGACCTGAGGTTTTTTTCCTGTGAAACCTACTGATAGTATGAGGTTTAAAAAACAACTTCTGGCTCCAGATGACTAGAACATGTTTTTATCCAGTAACATTCAGGACTTCACCCCTCCCTCCCCAGGGCTTTAAGATTATTACGCCTACTTTTCTTGTCCTTCTTCTCTTTTTCCTTCTCCTTCTCCTCTTCATCTCCTCCAGCCCCAAGTAAGGTAAAGATGATTCCAGTTTGAGAGTTCACACCTACAGCAGTAACCACCATTCTTCCAGAGCCTTCCATCACATGTGTACCTGAAAGATTGAATCAGGTTTTCCACTGAGACTTGAGCAGTTATATGGCAGAGCACAAAGGAAATGAGTTCTCAAACTTCACATTGACAAAACCTTAAGATGTGTATATATGTACCACTGTGTTCCCCTAGACCTTTAATTGCCAAAACTATCTGGAAAATAAAGCCATAAGCAACTACACAAAATGTTTGTCAGTTTTAAGAGTCTGCTCATTTTGACAAAGTTTTGTAGTAGTTGCACTGGTTTTGGATACTTTTAGGAGTCAGCCTAGATAAGGTCCAGCTTGCCAGATTTTAATCTCAAGATTTTAAATAACCAGTTTACCCCCAGAAACAAACCACTTCCTTCAAGAACTGTCAAAAGCTACACACCTGACAGCAGCATAGGATCTCTGTCCAGAGATTTCTTTACATGATCAGATTCTCCAGTCAGTGAGCTTTCATCAATTTTGAGGTCATTTCCTTGAATGAGTACACCATCAGCCGGTAAAAGATCACCTACGAGAGACGACTGGGTATGTTGATTGCAGTTCTTTTTTTTTTTTTTTAAGTACAAGAAAGTTCAACTTTAAAAATATGTTTACCATATTTCACTTGTGCAATATCTCCAACAATTATGTCAGCTACTGGTATTTGGATGACTTGGCCACCTCTGATGACTGTGAATTTTTGTTCTTGTTCAATACGGCTCTGCAGTCCCCGAAATTGTTTCTCTTTACTCCAGTCATTGAAAGCTGTTACTAATACCACACAAACTACAGATAGGAGGATTGCTGCTCCTTCAATCCAACCTGCTTCAGATTCCTCCTCTTCTTCACCAACATTTACTGATCCACATACTGTAGAAAACAGGTTTTAGGTTTAAGAAACTTCACACAGACAGTTATTTCAACAACAAAAAAGTTTTCCCAAACAGAAGAAACTACTAATAGTTGCTAAACATTTTCCATGCTAGCCTTCTTCGCAATTTTACATTTATTTTCAGTACACACAAAGAAGCTAAAGAACCTGAAAGCTAGAGCAGCTCAGGGAAGTTAAACCATCTAGAATTTACATCCCCGCTTACCTGAACGTAAGAGAAGTTGATATAGAAAGTTACCTGTCCTTATTATCTTGTTAAATGATGGCATAAGAATGCCAGACTAGACAATTAGTTAACCACCTTCTGCTTTCTCAACATTTCCCACTTTACCCTTATCTTAACAAGCCAGATATCATTGCAAAAATTCAGTTCAATGAAGGCCAGATCCCTTCGTTTTCCATTTAGAACTATAAATATAGTTTCATTTCTTAAATTAGAAAGTTACCAGTGTCATATTGCAAATCAAGGAAAATTTAAGACTTGCTGACTCCCCAAAGAAAGCACATGACCACAAATTATAAATTGCTTAAATATTTGAGGCAAAGCTAAAAAAACAACTTGCACAGAAACATGACGGGGTTTAAGAGAAGTTCTTGTTCCTGCTGCTTGCACTTTACCTTTGGCATTATTTTGGTCAGAATGAGACGAGATCATGACCAGGGAAATCTCATGTTGCCCTTTTAAGGCAAGCTAGAGTTTTAGTAGTGTTCTCTCAATAAGGAATAATAAGCTGCTTTTCCACTGACTTACTGTCTCCCACCAGATTCACAGTATAGGCATGTGGGACCACGGAAGTCAGTAGTATAATACAGGTAGATACCTACTTTTTAAAAAGTTTACTTACATGATTCATTTCCTCCTGGAGGCTGGTAAAAAGAAAGGCCCAAGGATACTACGGCTGCAATTTCTAATATAATTAGTGTAACGTCCTGTAGTGCTTCCCATACTAACTGAAGAAATGTTTTTGGCTTTTTAGGAGGTATAAAGTTCTTCCCAAAAACTGCTTCTCTCCTTTCTATATCTGCTGGATTTCCACTTAAACCTATTTAATAATAAGACAAAGTTAGTGATGCTTATATGCATTTCACCCTCACATTAGACATGACTGAGGTTTCCCATTCACGGAGTCAAGTCCCACTCCATATTTCAGTAACAATATTGAAAAGCCATATCTCAAATATAATTACAGAAGTATTATGATTAAATCAGAGTCACTATAGAAAAACAGCTATATTTTACAATTCATACTTTGCTAGTATAAAGTAAGCTGATGGTCTACCTACTTGCACTTAATACGATATAGCAACAGAGTAATAGTAACAGACATACCTTTGTACAAAGTAAACAAGTTTGCAAGACAAGATCATTAGTAGAATTACTACTATCGAGACTGAGTAGCACCATGCAGCTTTAGCAAGACCACAGCCTGTGAAGCCAGCTCTGGTTCCCACTGTAGGGATTCTGTATTCAGAGATAACATCCTAGGATCCTACAATTAATGTAACATTTATAATGAAATATTTAATATAATTAATAATATAAAATACTGTAAATATTGTATTTGTGTATTAATTATTATATAAGAGACTATAGAAAGCTGGTGAAGCTCTCCAGGCATCACATGGAGATAGGCAGCCACTTAATGACGCTGCTTCCACCTGGACAGCAGTTGCTTGCTCTTCTGAAGCTTCACTTTCTATCTCTTCTCACACAGAGAGAGCCCATATTCAGCACTGCGCAGGGTCTGTCACCTCAGTTTCGTACCTATCTTCTTTCTTATATGGCATATTTGAGTCCTCTTCTCTGTCTCAACTCTTGTACCATCCTTAAGAGACACTAGCAGGCAAGAGTGAGGGGCCTTCACTAAAAGGCACTGCATGCTTCAAGAGTTAGCCAAGTCCTTAAAAATAAAGGAATACCAAGTATATTCAGCGCAAGGTCATGCACTCAAGGTCTTCCATAAGTACACCTCCTGTTTACTCCTTCAACAGTTTCCAGCTGCCTAACCCACCATTCAGAATTTAAGTCACTAGCTCATTTTGCAAAGCGAAATGGCCAAACGCCCAGCCATGTTCAGAGCAACGGTCTGGATACTTCAACCATATTGCCCCCAAGGTTATGATCAGCACCTGCTTACAGACAACAATTTTCTTAGCAGCAGTTTTTTTAGTAGTTAACCCAACTGCTTAGTGATAAAGGCATTGCAAACCCTCTAGGTAATCAATAAGAACAGCGACCACTGCAACTGGCTTTCATAATAAGTGGGGTATTTAACACCTCTAACAGATATTTCCTAGAGCCATCAAATAATATTTCAAGACACTTTGCAAAGACTACTGAACTGCAAAGCTCAGTTTTAAATGCTAACAACTGCTATGTAATCACTTAACTGAAAAACAAAATATTACATGCGTATCTTTTCAAAAGTGAAATGAATTAAACACACTCTTAGTGTATATAACAAATTATATTTATTCTAACACTCTTAGATTCACCTCAAATTCATGGCTTTGGAGGTTTAATACAAAGGAGCTATGCTATTTTACTGGTTAGCCATAACACTACACTTCTGGAAGTTCAAGCTTTGAGGTGCTTACTTTCACTCTCAACTCAAAGAGCACTGCAAGACCATTTTCAAAAACTCAAGCTATCTGAGAGGATCTAGAGAAACTCAGGACAGCTTGGCCATCCCAAATGGCCCGACCATACTGCTATTTTGCAACAGATACCATTTCCCTCTTCCTTTTAGCATGGCAGAGTTTGGAAGATTATTTACATAATGTCAGCAGCACCACTTTCCTCCTCCCTTCACAGGGTACAAGGATGCAGAACATCAGAAATATATAGCAATGGGCTTTGAAGAATTAAAATTGTTTCCCAATAAGGCTACATAAAGTCTAGCTACTATCAGAACCACTTAGTGAAGATTAGCGAATAAGCCTAGCAAAGACAAAAAGCATTTGTATTTTTAGTATTCACAATAATGGTGCCTGGTGTATTATAGAACTTGCTACATTTACCACACAGCTGGCAATTTCATAGTTCACAATCTACCGTCCTGAGGTTGAAACTACTGCTGTTATATTGTTCATTATATATCTTAACCAGGGTAATTTATGTTATTTGGGGTTTAGTTTGAAAAATATTAGGCAAGGGACTAAAGCTTCATATACAAATTTTATTAGAAATCTAGATGTAGCAGTTACTAGACAATCAAAATTATGTAGACCTGTGGGAATATTGGTGGTGGCCCATCTCTCCAGAATATAGGAAGGACTTCTGCTACTACAGATATGTTAAACATTCACATTTGCATACGTTTGTACACACGTAAAGGACATGATAAACGTTAAATACTAAGCAGTGAAGTCTGCTCAGTGTCTTTTTTTAGTAACACTGATAAAGGACAGTTACCATTTCTCATTTCATATCAGATAGGTCTGATCCACATTTCTCCTGAAAACAGACATTACCTTACATTGTCAACAACTTCAAAGCAAGAAATTATACCAGCTGAACCAACCTACCATGTAGCATCTTGGAACTACCTGTACTTTTGGTGTGAAGCCACTGGTAATTACACAAGTCAGCATTTCATATCATAAAGAAAGTTTCTGAATAGGAAGAAGTGCCATAGGGCCTTGCAGGTGTACACACGAGACTTTAGAGAGCTACAACTAGTATAACACATAGCAGTTTTCTGCATAGATCTTGCCTAGATTTTCTCCATTAGAAATGTCTCCATTTCTATACTTTTGTCAAAGAGAGCTAGTTCTACTTTTACAAGAGCTCTCCAGTACTACCGCTGAGAAATTTATAGCAGTTTACCCGACAGAGAGGCTGATTCTCTAAAGTTTCGTGTAGTGATTTAGAGCCGAAATGAGACCTTTGTAGAGGACACTGCTCTATCTCATCTTACTTAACCTTTTCTGAGCTAATTACCACATTTGACTATTGAGGCCTTGCTGTGGTTATGTGCTGCTCTCGCACTTCAAAAAAAAGATGGTGCCCTTTTATCAGGTTAGTGATTGTATTTAACTGATTGCAGGACGGTACCTCTAAATGTCAAATCCTTTTGAAATGGAAAGGCCTTGATCACACAGTCTGCAGTACAGCAGAATCAATCTGTAGGAAAGGGCATCTAACCCTTTCTAGTTTTAATACGCCAATACTCATCATTCCCGTGTGTTAAGCTGCTTGTTACATTCAGGGACATAAAGTGAATCCTGCAGTACACCAGGTATTTGGTGCTTAGTGCATCATGGCTCTCTACAATCGTACACCCACCTATCTTGTAGTAATAATGCGCCTTAAACCTTGCAGATTACTGTAAAACAGGATTCGACTCTCACGTCAGTTCCTGACTGTAGAAAACTACAGCCTTTTTCAGTGAGAAAGGAAACTGCCGTTCAATACTTTGCGACAGGTCAGTAGGGTAACCAGAGACTACTGCTCCCATCTAAGGGGTGTTACACCACTGGTACACGGCGGTGCTTCACACACAGGCACTAAGGTTTACAACTCTGTTGATGCCAAGGAACAGAAGTTTGCACTCCTCGTGTTTTACCGATTTCTTCCTCAACCTAAAACTGGTCTACTCCCATTCGCTGGCAGGTCAGGCATGAGAGCTGGCTACTTTCAGTTTGGTAAGAAGAGCACAGTTCACGTACTGAAATAATTCCACAAGTCTGGAAATCAGGAGTCTGGCTTCAAAAGCAGATCAAGCCAAAACATGCTAAATGCAGATGGACCCAGAGATATCTTAAGGCATTAGTAGGCTGTTCTTGATCCAAGGAGACAAACCTTTCCATAGCATTTCTGAAGAACAGAAAGCAACAGCTCTCCAGGATTAAGACAGCAGGTAGTTTACTGCCACCAGCATGACACCACATTGGTTAAAAGCTATGCGAGTGCTTAAATGCCCAATATACCACAGTTCGCCAAAATCTTGGTTTTGGTACTTCTCACTCACTACCAACTGCAGGATTTCACATTAGGTTTGAGTTAATGTTAGACAAAAATATGTAAAAACATTTTTACAGAATACTACAGTTTAGATATCTTAAGCAATACGACTTGCATCTTTCTTTCAGAAGTTAAAGCTTATAGTTTTCATTTATATTGGAAGAAAGTAGCAGGAGATGGCCAGATCTTAAGAAAAACTTCTGGAAAGCTCTCAGGAAGGAGACTTGATACATTTATTTCCTTCTTCACATTTGTACAGTCTATCTTGGAGTAGTATAACTCTAGAGAGCGAAAGCATCAATCAGGTAGCCATACTTCACAGAATGCCATCAAGTCCAACATGGGAAAGACTTCTTCAGATATGCTTATTTCTAGAGAATAAGATTGTGTGATCACTTTGCAAACCTTCTACTAATAGTGACAGTACCTCTTAGTGCCTAAAGCTGTATTGATAGTTATTTTGTATAGATCAAATGAAATCTACAGAAATACTATAGATTTAAAAACTAGACCCTGCTGTTAAGAATTCAATGTAGTACAAATAGAAAACAGATGTCACCAGTTTTAAAAACTGTTGCATTAGGGAATACAAGAACTAGGTAGCAACACAGAAGCATTAATAAGCCCTGCATTCGACTATTAAAACCTTGTGTTCTATGACAGCATGATCTGAATTGTGAACTATAGGTCACATGAGCTATTCACAAAACTTATACTTTCAGAGTAAGTTAAACATTGCTACGTTGCATTGCTGTTTCATACGTGGATGCCTACGTCTATGAACTTTATTCCAAAGTACAACTTCACCACTAATCCAACATCTCACATGCAGTTAGACCAACTGAAAAATACTCTTGCTTACTTATTACCATTGAATACTTCTGCCTTAGAGTAGTAAGAAGCAATATTTTACTCTGGTAATAGAAATACTTTTATAAACTTTATTATGTTAAAAAAAAGAAGTGGTTTGCTTGACTAAGGTTGTTCCTAAATGGAGTTTCCTCAATTATAGTGTTAAAACTGACTTACCTTCATTTGGTGAAGTTTTCAATTTTGTACAGATGCCATGTACATCTCCATAGCATTCCTGTATTTTATGCAGTGCATCTGTAGCTCGAAGTTCCATAAGAGAACGGAGCTCTGCAAGAGTAACTCCAAAATCTCCATGATTAGCTTCTTTTACGGCGTTTTTTACGCCACTATATGCAACCGAGTTGTTTGCCATATCACCCATGATGCGTGCAGTCTTTAGTGTAGACAATTTCCAGTAAGGAACAAGATTTCAACTTCAAATATTTCCAAAAGGAAAATAAATCCTTTGGGTATGAAGACAGTCAGGAGAGCAGACACATCACCCAAGTAAGAGACCCCGTCTGGAGAGATATCTTTGAGGTTGTCCCATGGTGCGTTCTGATCCCAAAGCCAAATGGCATGTACGGTCTAGGGAAAAAATAAATACACATTCAGTTACATAACACTATACTGAAATACATTGCAAGACAACCCTACTCTTCATATTGAGGTTATGGAACGAATTTCTGCTTAAGGACAATTTCTTCATATTTCCTATAATATTTTTAGTTAGCATTCAGCTGGCAAGAGTGATGAGGCATAAAATTGACATTTCCCATCTCAAAATAACCCTGCATTATTACACTTTCTTAAATCATTAACTTAGAACAGCTGTTGCCTTTTAAGTCTTGCATTTTGCTTGGTATATCCATACGGTTCATCATCAAGAGGAAACCTTTAAAAACACCTGGAAAATGGAGTTTGGAGCATACACCACTCATGTCACATGGGGTAAGAACACGCTCAAGGTAAAAATCCCGACTTTTCACCAAAGCTTTCACATCAGAGTTTGGGATGACCAAGCTTTTGTGTTTTCCCACGAAGTCATTTGTGCAAACCTCAAGGAAAACAGTTTCCACGCTAACTTAGCCCAAACATGAAGTACTTTTGTAGTGTAAGTAGGAGTATATCTTCAGGCAGACCTTAATGCATTTTCATGTCCAAACAGTTTTAATCTCCCTCCAGACCATTCCATCATAAGTCAAGCCTTTCACAGTATCTGCATTTAATTCTTTGAACAGAAGGGAAAATTGCACAATACCACCTTCCTACAGAAGGGATGGGGAGGCTAAGAGCAGCTCTTCTGGCTCATTATCAGAGCACTGTAGCTGACAAATTAACATCTACCCGCAGGATTCTTAACCTGCACAGGCACTCTGTATTTAATTCCCGCTCGGCTGACACATCTTGCATGTACACATGTATCTACACAACAACATAGCGAACGCACAAACACTTCGTGCCTATATAAAGACCTGCTGTGTGCAGAAGACAGAAGTCTGATCACGTAAGTCAGCTTTATCGACATAATGGGGCACGGTGAGCACAAGTAACAATATATTCCCCCATGAAACATTATGGCTGCCAGGCTCAGATGAACAGTAACTTGGACACTTCCAGGTCAACAAGACCCTCAGGTGTCATATGCCTAGCAAAGGCAATCAGTTACCACTGACTGCATTGCTTTACAAAGACAGAGAGTCAAATAGCAAAGAAAGGATTTCTGGTTTTTGCCCTGCCAGGTTAGAGGACTGTTCAGTTGAACCACTGTGTCTGTGTTGAGGTCCAGGTATAAGCACCTAATTACCAGAAATTTAAGGTCTTGGTTCCAGGAAAGTCTCAGTTCTCTTCTCTGGAAACGATCAGCTTCAGCTATAATCAATCTACTGTTTTAAGCACCGTGCCACAGTACTGCATTTGCGCTGAAGACAACCACTGATGCTGAAAGACCCTGAAGTGATGTCACCCAACCACAAGTGACAGTCCCATCTCCAGCAGAACTACAACTGCTCTTCTCTTCCTAGCACTAGGAGATTCTGAGAAAAGCGCTGTCTATGGCTGTTTTCTGGAGAGCGACAAAAAGCATCAAGCAGTCAATATTCATATGCACAAAACTTCAACATCCTATAACATCAACAAGGTACCTAATTTAAAAATTCATTTTAAATCTTTGGGTTTTTCTCCGTTTCTTGAAAAAAAAAAAATCTTACAGCAGTCCGTGACAATGGTGTTAACCTGCATGCTAGGATGTAGCCTGATTAACACACATTCTTCAGCTGACTATAACATGTTCTGCTAGAGTATCCTGTAAGTGAAGAAATTCATGCAAATCGTATATGAAAGAGTGCTCTTTAAAGCCACACATCTTTATCTAATGCCTAAAAGCTGGACGCTGTTGGCCAACTAGTAGCCTAGGAAGATTTATCAGTTGGCATCTGATCATAAGCTATGACAGTGTAACAAGAAGCAGATCACACAAATGAGTTTGTATAGCTACGGAGAAGATGCTGCAGCTGCTAATTAGGCAAAAATAGACCAAGCAGAATGCCCCACAACTAATTGCATCAAACGTGATTCAATTTTAATTAAGAAAAGCTCTGTTCAAGCCTCTAGCAAGAGCCTTGCACTTGAGGGCCAGATACACCCAAATCCAAGTACAGACATGAGGTCAGGAAAAGCTACAGCTCTAGTCACTGCTCACTTGACATTGAAAAGCTTTGAGACTGACTATTGAGCCAGAGCAAGACTTGCTTTCACGTGCAAGTAATCTTAAGAGCAAGAACATTGCTTAATCATTGCTCACATGGTGCTTTGAATCTATGCATCTAGATCCATTTTTGTCAAGACATAATAGTCCAGTGATTAGCTATTGCAAACAGTTTCTACTGGAAGGGGTTCTCAGATGTTCTGAAGTACCTCAATGGTGTCCTAACGTACCAATGGACCCTTAGGGTTCACAGTCAAGTTCAACAAGCTTACAAAAGCAGTGCGATTCTGCAGATGAGCTCTAGCAGTGTTACAGATTATTTGGCACATCCATGTTAGGAAATAGCTGTGGAAAATTGAGAAGAACAGTGTGAAGACTTCAAATTCTGAATACTGAGCATGAGCAGTTTTACTCCAAATCATAAAAACTTGGTTAAACATTAGCAATTGTTACACCAAATCAGACCAGAAAGAATCTGCTCCAGTAGCCCATTTTCACCAGGCATTTCAACGGACAGTACAAAAGCCTCTCAGCACATGGGTACAGAATGGACTTACCTTAACATAGTTTCTTTGCCAATTCCTACAGAAAAATCTCGCTACAAATTTCTTTAAGAAATATCCTTAATGCAGTTTTGATGTCAAACCTTGCAACATTCAATTGCTTCCTGTTACAGCAAGTTCCAACAGTCCGCTTTTGTAACAAAGCGGCGATGCATAATGCAACTATAAACAGTGAAATTCTAGTATCATAAAAAGAAAGCTCATTTTTAAGCTGCATAGATCATCTAATAATATTTATCTCTGCAACTAGTGGAATATTTTGTTTTGACCAGTGTTCCAGTTCTCAATTCTTGCAGCAGCCATTTGAGATACATTATCTGAGTAGCATGAGCTCTGAAGCACTATAGTTAAAAGCAACTCACCTCAAACTTTCAATCGTCTAATATCTCAAATTTTAAATTCAAGAAACAGTTATCATACTAAAAGTCACTAACACACCGTTGCTGAAGTTCCAGCTTATTTAAAGTTTAATTCAGTTGAAGTTATGTTAATGTCCAGCTTAAACAAGCTGCATACAAGATGATTAAGTCTGTCTTTCATTAGGCACATCAACTTTTGGATAATCCCTTGTTTACATATCACAGAGTAGGACCAACCTTAAAGCTATAGCCTGTCACACCCAAATGACTAAAAATCTTGCACTGCAGAGGCACCTTACAGCAGCAGCACGTTCTCTCATAGGCAGGATTCAGACGCTTGTGCGAATCTCTCTGAAAAGACCCTGCTGCTCTATGACTGTAACAGCTTCACTGACACCTCGCACCATCACGGCTGCCTATGAGGAGTACCGCATCTTAAACTCCTTACCCAAATCAAATTAATATTTATTGCTAAGTGGGCGTGCTTTGTTACCAAAGACATTAATTCAAAACCATAACCCATGAAAGAAAGGTTAGGTAATTTTACCAGTGTTAGAAGTTCGACAGCCTCACAAGCCTCTGTAGTTGGACTGGAAAAAGGACAAGCTCTAAACAGAAGTCTACATGTAGATATGTTTACCAAAGCATGCAGAGACTATAGATTACAACTCTAGTGCCACCAGAACATGCTGCGTTGACCAAGCTAGAACAAGCTGTAGCATGTTTCTTGAAGTGTTCTTGTAACAACAACACTTTAAATATAAACCCATGGTATTCCCCTGCCCCAGGGCCAAAAAGCAGCTACTATTGAGGCAGCCCTGAACATCAAGTACACTTCAAAAAGGACTCCAGAAACAGTCCTTCATAGGTGAAAGTATTTAATAATTAGTAATTTAGTATTTCCCTCTATTTAGAAGAAAGCTATAATCTGTGTTCTACATTCTTTAAAATTAAGGCTACCTTGAAGTGATAGTTTGCAGTGGCCATGCACTGACAATCAAATGTGAACAGCCAAGTTTAAGAGTGGCAAAATTACTACTGCCCAGAGGCACAGGACCTAGCTTACCTTAGACCCCTATCCAAGTCTTTTCTATTATTGAATTTGCATTTAATACATACTTCACCAACCTACTGGTAATGCATTTCAATATTGATCAAGAAAATTAAATCTTAAAACACTTAAGCAAACTCGTACCTCAAGAGCCAAAGCTCCAGCAGTTATATATCCTGTGTCATTCAATTTAATTTTTACATCTGCTTGAGCACTATGCATTCAGATATTAAGCATCAGCTGGTACTAGCATTTGACCTTCAACAACACACTAAAGCTGGTTGCTGTAATATAGGAAAAGGCTTGCAAAGTGATTATCTCAGGAAAGCCTTTGTTTAATCTAATTAGTTCAATGAAGACTGGACAGTTCTACATACCAAGAGGCTGCAGTGATAAAAACTGTCCCCATATGTTTCAGTTGTCATGTCATTTTAATCTGTTTCAAAAAACAGCTTTTGAGATACTGAAAAATATGCCTTTGCATACTATAGTTTGAAACCCACAGCACTAGGTATGTTCCACAGCTTCAAACCATCACATGACATTTTTCCTTAGGGGGGGAAACACCCAGTTGTCTGTAATATTATTATAATGGAAAGTAATTGTAACTGAGAAAGTGACCTGGAAATCACACTGGAAAAGTGTGAGGTCTTCTGCTCTAGGGGGTCAGTTTTCTTACTTTCAAGTAGGTATGAGGGTCTGTCTCAAAGGCTACAGAAACTCACCAGCTGATTCACAAGAAATATGAATGAATGCTAATAAAATAAAAAGTTCATTCAGAACAGTATGCATTTACAGGTCACTATCCTGTATGTTAAAGTGTGCCTAACCGAACAACTAGGAGTTCAATTAGTTCAGTGGCATGCTGTTGTTTTAGTGGAAGCATCTCAGAGAACCTAGCTTATGAAGA